GGCACGGTCCCACTAGCACCCGGATTAGCCTTAGCTGTATCCGGGGCACATGTGTTTTCCGTATTAAAGAGACTTCAAGAAATAGTTAGAAATAGAAAAAAGAAAAAAGAAATCAGGTTCCGTTTCTGGGTCTGAGAGGTTTCTTGAAAATGTATCGGGCTGTATTACGGGCCCAGTACACTACAGTGCTGCGCCAGCCTCTGATGCTGAACTTACCGGCGTGGAAGGACGGCGCTTCCCATTCTCACAGGGCAACCGCCAGGTCACATTATTTTCCAATTTCCTTACTTTTTTATTCACTTTTCTGAGTTATTTTTCAGGGAACGATGACCGCCCTCTGCCCGAAAATAGTTTGCTCTAGAGAGAAGACCCCCTCGCATGCATTTTCTTTTCTGTTTTCAATGCATGGCCAATGGGAGGGCGGTCCATTTTCATTTGGAAGACATGGAAAAAGTGAAACGAACTAAACAATTGAAGAAAAAAGCAGAGCCGTAAGATTTACGTAGAATGGGCGGCCCTTACCGATCGGCCTACAATGTTTTACAGAAAACACATGTGTCCCGGATATAGCTAAGGCTAATCCGGGTGCTAGTGGGACCGTGCCCCGGAGGGCGCCCTTTTTCTTTAAATTTGTAAGTTGTAACAAAACTTCAGCGATATATATTATATAGCTTTTTTTTCTTTTCCAAATGCACCCATTGGGTGAGACCTCTGACAATGATCCCATCTCATAAACCACGTATTGAACCGGCTGCAGGCACATCGGGCATGGCCACACCACTCTCGAAATGTGCAAAATGAGAATGAACTTCCTGCTAGAACGTGGCCAGATGCACCCGCCACATTTTTGTCTTTTCCACATTTCGAGAGTGGTGTGGCGAGACCCATAGACGGGACAATTATCCCTCGGTGGAAGGCGCCTTCGCCCCTGGCCACAGATCCGTTGACCTGTTTTTACGGGACAATGAATCTGGCGCTGTTTCTGCACCAGATTCATGAACCGGTAGGGCCACTCTTTTTCAAGATACGGTACTTGGGCCTCGTTCTATCCATTAGGGGTACCACCCCCGGCCTCTTTTACCTGGGAATGAATCTGGCGCTGTTTATGCACCAGATTCATGATCCGGTGGGGCCCTCGGGAGTGACACCTAGGTCCGTAGTACCCCACATGGAAAGGTTTCGGCATGTAGTACCAAACAATCAAACTTCTGGCGCCCAAAATAAAAAAGGTTCTGGCCTGGGCGCTTTCCACCAATCATCCCCACATAGATACATGCGATCCAAAAGAAAGGTGAAGAGGAGAGAGGGGGGGGGGGCTCTGGGGGGAAGGGGGGGTGGAGTCACTTGGGGGAGGGGTCAACTATTTCTTTCGTCTCTACAAGTGCTGACTGATCTGGCGAAAGTTAAAAAAAATTGCTCTTCAAATGAAGTGCTGTTGAAACTGGAAAATCATTTTAGCAGTAGTTGACAAAACAATTTATTCTTATTCCATTCTTCATTTTAATTCCTTTTTTTAAGTTTTTTTTTTTTAAGTTTTTTTTTTTTTTTAAGTTTTTTTTTTTTTTTTTTTTTTTTTTTTTTTATAACTGCGAATATGTCGTACTAACTTTAGTCTATAAAAATGAATGTTTTCATTTTCACTCTTGCAGGAGTTGGAAGAATTGCTGAAGAGGAATGAGGTCCTAGAGGTGAGCATATTGCTTAGGAAAATCAGGTTGATGTAAATTGTAATAACATTATTAGAAGCTAGCCCCTCAAAAAAAGAAGAAGTGAAAAGAACAAAGAAATCAAACGAGTAAGGTTCACCTGCCTGCGTTTGTGTGAAAAGTGCCAAGTCGCCTCAACATCCATCTGCCGCCTGACATAACACTTGCACTCCGTAATTAGAGATAAGCTATGGTCACACAAGTCTGATACTAATTTTCATTGTTCAAATGGGATGCTGGACCCGTTTTCCAGCAGGTGCAGCTCCCCACCAATCGACGGAGTGTAAACACACACAAAAAAGGAGATGAGCAAGGAAAACGATTCATTAGCCAAGCTTCAGCTCGACATCCACAAACAATCAAAACTTGAAAAGTCAATTAAACCACCAGCACCTTTCCCATATGTCGGCTGCGGGCACTGCACGCCAGCCTGAAAATCAAGACTGGCCGCCGATTCAATTTATAGGCGGCCTCCCTTCCGTTTCAGGCCAGGCCAGCACGTTACCTGGGGCGCCTCTGAAAAAAATTCAAAAAATAGCTGGGAAAGGTACTGGTGGCTTAAACCACCAGTACCTTTCCCTGATTGAAAATCAATTCTGTGCCGTGTAACACGGAAGCCAAGCGGGATCGGGCCGCCGTTGATAAGTTGAATCGGTGGCCCGCTCTCCCTTTTGGGCCTTTTTTTCTGCTCGCGACTGATATATGAGAAAGGTACTGGTGCTTTAAAAACACCAAATGTGAAAAAAATGAAAATCATCACAAACAAGCAAAGTCCATTGATTTCAATATATCCCTCTCCGATGAGTCTAGACTCTAAAGTTCTAAACTCTCTCTCTCTCTCTCTCTCTCTCTCTCTCTCTCTCTCTCTCTCTCTCTCTCTCTCTCTCTCTCTCTCTCTCTCTCNTCTCTCTCTCTCTCTCTCTCTCTCTCTCTCTCTCTCTCTCTCTCACACACACACACACACACACACACACACACACACACACACACACACACCCTTAAGTCTCATTGGAGCGATACTGTGATAGTGTGTTTTTTTTAACTTCTTTAAGTTCTTTCTTTTCCTTCATCTTGCCGGTTCCTCCACCCGCTTTGCATTTTCTTTTGATCTGTGGCTTTTTCTTTTTTTCTTACAGGTTTTTCAACTTCTTGTTGTAACGACGTCACGGTGTGGATTCGAAGAATTTCATGTAATTCATTTGTCTTTGTTACCTCCTCTGTTGTCATTTCCCTTCTGCAGGTCTTACTAAAGTCGAGGAGCACGGAAATTCAGATGATTCAGGGAAACCAGAAAATTGCAGAAGAGGATTGGGAACGCAAGGTTTTCCTTCCTCTTCCGATGATTCCTCCCCTTCCCTTATCCTAAGCCTTGCTCTTTCTTTCTCTCAAAGGCTTTCCTATAAAGGCTCTTCCTCGTGTTCGTCTTGTTCTTCCTGCTCTTAGAAATGAACAAAGAACCTTGAACTTCTTCTTCTTCTTCTCCGCTCTCATCATTTAAGATTTTTTTTTTTTTTTCAACAAGAAAAGCTCCAATCTATTTGTGGGGAGCAACACGTACCTCTTCTTTTTCTTACCTCTTCTTTTCTAAGAAAAAGAAGAGGTAGGTGATCTGAATTGACGAGAACACAGAGGAGGAGGAGGAGGAAGAAGAAGAAGAACAAGAAGAAGAGGAAGAAGAAGAAGAAGAAGAAGTCGTTCAAATCAGATTAGCACAAAATGTGAGGCTTTACTCTCGTGGAGGACATAATGTGCTGAACAAAGATAACACTGGCATGCACGAGCACACCAGCATCGCCCTTCTGCCTCGTCCACTCAGGCGACAAACTCATACTGCTACGCCTTAATATAGTTGTTCTCTAGGCCTCACATAGCAATCTGATGTCCCAAGTCCACCTCTCATCACCTACCGTGCCTCCTCCTTCCCCTGGTCACCTCGTCTTACAATACTATACCCAAATTTTTACTTTCATCGATCCTCTGCATCTCATCCAATATCCCGTCTCGGTTACCAAATCCCGTGTTATCTTTATCTTCGTGGAAGTTGCAGCTGCACCTGATCCAATACCCTGTCTTGATTAACGGATATTTCCATGGAAGTCTCGTTGTCGAGAGCACCGAAGAAGAAGAAGAAGATGGAAGAGGAAGAAGAAGAAAAAGAAGAGGTTATCCTAAATGAAGAGAGCACCAAAGAAGAAGAAGAAGAAGAAGAAGAAGAAGAATGAAGAAGAAGAAGAAGAAGAAGAAGAAGAAGAAGAAGAAGAATGAAGAAGAATGAAGAATGAAGAAGAAGAAGAAGAAGAAGGAGAAGAACGGCAGAGATGTTGAATGATAATGATTGATAATGGCAATAATGGTAAACACTACGATACACTACACTTAGTACCTATTGCGTCATGACACGAGAATGCTAACCGCGTGACATCATTGTTGCAGTTATACTGCCATGCATCATCGCCATCACCATCTGATTAGCATTAATTCTACCATCATCATCGTCATTATTATCATCCCACGCCTTTTTAGCTCTCCTAAGGTAAGAAACTCACAACCGGAGAAAAGAAGCATGCCATTGAAGAAAAAAAATAATTATGTGGCGTCATCCTTGTATGGTGGAAGGGGTCAGGCCCCATTTGGTGATGCTCTGTGTTAATCTCACACAGACCTACCGGTAGTCCACTGCACAGTGCGGCTTCACCTTTGGAAACTTCAGAGTCAGTTCAGACAGAATGCAGGTACGTGGAGCTCGCCACTTACTCCTCCGCAATTCTTCAATGACAGAGACCTGTCATGCATGCTGAGCCATCGAGCCAAGGTGTCGTGGATTCAACGACTGAGCGGACCTTTCCTTTTTTACTTCTTTTCTGTTCGTTGAAGAGCGTTCGTCATAGAAATGACAAAGAAAATGCACTCACGGAGTCAACTTGAAAGGAGGAAGTTATGTTCTTCAGGACAATGTCATCCGCTAAAACTGGAATGATACAGTGAAGGTTAGCATGGCCCCTTCGCAAGGATGAGACACATAGATCGAGAAATGGTCCGGTAAAAAGAAAAAAAGAAAAAAAGAAAAAAAGAAAAAAAGAAAAAAAAGGAGGATGTCCGATGTTGCCAATATTATCTTCGGGTTGTTTCATTATTTGCGTTTTTCTAGTTCACAAATGAGCAAGGTGCTATGCTGTTGGGTTTGGCACGGTTTGAATTCTGCGGACGGACTTCGTCTTATCAATATGGATACGGGCATGCAGTGGCATGGCATTGCACCATGCAACTGAGAGCATGCAGGTTAACAACAAGTCAACAACATGTTAATAATATATATGACTGTAATCTGAGTAATCATTAATGTTGTTGTTGTTTTTTTTTTTTTTTTTTTTTTTTTTTGTCACAGAGAATGGCCCTTGAGAGTGAGAAGGAAAGGATGGCACAATTGCTATCTGATCTCCATCAAGAAAAGGAGAGGTTGGAAGACTCCTTGAAACAGGAACAAGCCAGAGTGGAGGACACACTAAAGCAACTAGAGGAGGTAACCATCTATCATCTATGCATGCATCCCACAAATTGAGTAGAATGTATCTCATACTACTACTACTACTACTACTACAACACGACTACTACTACTACTACTACTACTACTACTACTACTACCACCACCGTCTTCACCGGAATAGAACGGCCGATCATTATAACTCTATTTGGGCCAACTTTTGGCCTAGATACAGCAATAAATACCAGGCGTTCTATTCGGGTGAAGATGGTAGGCTTAAGAGTTGTTGTAGTAGCAGTAGTAGTAGTAATAGTAGTAGTAGTAGTAGCAGTAGTAGTAGTAGTAGTAGTAGTAGTACTAGTAGTAGTAGTAGTAGTACTAGTAGTACCACTACCACCACCAGTACAATCAGTAGTAGTAGTAGACTCAGCGTTCTATTTGGGTCTAGATACAGTGATAAATACAATGGGTTACACCAGCCCATTGTGTGTGTGTACGTGTGTGCCTATGCTTGAAAGTGATGGGGTGAGCCAAAGTCTGCCCACACAGAAGATGTTTCCCCAACCCATCACTGTCACTGTTTCGCATGAGTGTGTGGTGAAGGAAAGCTGATGCGGTGCCACCTCGCAGGTGGCACCCGATCTTTGTAAAACGGGTGGCAAGCATGCCAAAACGCACAAAGAAAAACACAAAAAGAAGAAAACAAATGGAGGCCGCGTGCCTTGACGTTGCGGCCTTGGCAGACTTAATCAAACAGCAGGTGCGGACAGAGCTAAACGCAGAATGGGAAAAAGGCAAAGAAGAAGTATGTGCTATGCACTCACGAACAGAAAGAAGTAAAAGAAACCTAAAAAATTGCGAGGACTGGCTGGGTGGGGTTCAAGGGGGATGGGTAGCAGAAGTGACTTGCGAAGGGGGGGGGGCAAGGGGAAGATCAGCAGGGGCTGCCCCTCGCAATCGTTCATGACTGGACGAAGTTGGACGACACGATCCCCTTATACCCGCTCTCAGATTTTCCTGTTCCTTCCCCCCCTCATGGATTATACTTGGTGGATCTTCAGTGGTATGGGGGGGGTTGAGATGCTACACTCAAGGGGTTGCGGCCCGGTGTCGGTGCGAATACCCTTACAAGGGTATCCGCCCTGTTTTTTGCAAATGACAGAAAAAAAGCGGTTTAAGGTCTGAGTACATCGCGCGGGTTGCGGCGGTGTCTGTTGTTAACGCATATTGAATGGTTGACTAAAGTAGAAAGTGTGTGTCCGCGCGCGACTTGAGGCGCGCGTGATCTTTTTATTTGTTGATGACTGAAGAGTTAGTGTGATCGCTCGCCCAATTTTTATTTCTGATTGAACTAGGATTCAAAAGATTATGCCTCTGGATTGGTGCGCTTGCTTGTGATTTGTGCGAACGTGCGGAGGACTACGTCGACAATAATGTGATTTTGGAAACGTTTCGGTAGAGCTGCGCGTCGTGCAGTAATAGTTTATTTAGGTGTCCGTTAGAGCTAGACCCAACTTTGGGCCTAGCATTAGCGGTTACGACGTCGGACTTTCATCAAAGAGATTCAGGGATCGAGATTGAGCGGCGACGATGTGGGAGCGTGGAAGCGGCGCGAATGAATCGCGGCGTTGAGGGCCCGACGGGGCTATTCCTCTTGGTTTTGTCGTCGGCGGCGTCAGAGCGGTGCTAGCGGTTTCTTTTTCATAAGTTCGTCATATTCTGACGATTAAAATTTTTTAAAATATTTTATTATTTGGTGTTCGTTGACTCTGGCGAGACGTCGGATTTAGGGACCGTCGCGGCGGTAGATGACCTTGAGCACGCACCTCCTTTTGTTGACTTACGTGTTCCTCGCATATTCAGGATGCTGGCGAAATTCCTCTGTCCTGACTGCTTTGAAACGCGGATCCGGGAGTTCAACGTGGATGCGAGTCGATGGGTGACTAGCCTACGAGGCGGAAAAAATCTGGGCGGTGTGGGTCTTTTGCGGGTATACCGCCCGCCAGCCGTGGGTCTGTTGTGAGAGGTTTGAGCATGAGCATTCCCGATTGGGCCTCGAGAGCCAGTGGGCAGTGCTAAGGCGTGTGTGGAGGGACGAGTGCCTCAAGGCAGAAGGGGCCGCAAATCATAGTAGCGGTCCTACGGAACCCCTTTCCACGTCGGTCTCCAAAAAGTCATAGGGGAATATTTGCTACTGCGATTAAGATCTGCACTGGGACTCACCCCACCGGGCCTCAAGCAGCAGGCGCCGCGACAGGCCAGGGGGCGGTGTGGAGGGGAATGCAGTGATACCGCTGCAGCCTGTCTATAGGATCGGGGCACGGGGGCTAAAGACTAATCAAGCCGCCTAATAGCTGGCTCCTCATAAGATCCTGCAAGTATTGGAGCCATCGAGCAGACCGCTGTGTCGGGGCGCTGTCGGTCGAAGGAGAGGGATGAGGTGAGTACAGGAAGGGAACGACTGGGACTGTTGGGCAATAGGGCCGGGTCACTGTGACTACTAGGCGCTGCACTAGCAGCAGCGGACGAGAAGGCAGCGGAGCGATGAGTAAAAGCAAGAAAAAAATAAAATAAAATAAAGGGAGTGAACCTGGACGCTAAATTGTGCCAGGTACATTGAAAGTGACGAAGATAAAGCTATTACGGGTTAATGAGTCGGACGCAGAAAGAAAAGCATAACTCTCTCGATCCTTAGCGGAATCGAGAGAGGGAAGAGACAATCCCGGGGTTTTGGCCCCGGGCGAATCCAATGGTAAGGCCTGAATGGAAGGAAAGGAAGTGGAAGAGGAGATATGACGAAAACGACATGCGTGAAAATGATAGAGGAGAGGGCTATGCCAGGAGTAGGTTGGGGGTTTTTTACCATTCCGAATTGAATGGCGGAGTCAGTTCGGGTGTTGGGTCAGTAGGATACGAGTTAGTAAGGAATGGTGTCGCGCGGAGTGTCGAAAGATGGATATGGCGAGACATAGAAACAGGTGTCTCGCTAGTTCTTAACAGAAGTGAGTGAAGACTTTATTATGACGATGTATATTTCCACGCTTTAGCGTAGAAAGGAAGTGGAAGAGGATGTTAGTTCAGGGTTATTTTGGTGTCGTAGATTGATCGGCGATAGCGAATTTGGATCTAAAGGAGTGGTTGAGTGCTGCAAAGAAAAGAGAACCGCGCTGGGGAAGAAGACTTTATTATGACGATGTATATTTCCACGCTTTAGCGGAAGATTCATTCTGGTTGTGTACATCCTGTCGATGGAAGTAGAGTAAGGCAACCTGCGAAGGAGTGTAAGCGGTGCGTTGTCCATCGTTAGGAATGCTCTCTCCCTGTCTCCCCGCACGATTAGCTCGATGGTAATGTATGGTTATACGTTTTGGCGGTAGGTTCTTTCGACTTTGCTCGTTCTGTTGATGGGAATAGTGTGAGGCCAGCGGCGGGAACGGAGATTACCCTATTTAGTTGGCGCAAGTTCTGGCGGGCAAGGGATAGAGAGATAGCTACCTACTAGTTGTATTGGTCGTCCGCCACGACCTACAGGGAGACTTTTTCTGTCGTAGCAGAGTCCAACCTGTGTTTTCACGACAGGGCTTGGGCTGTATTGTTTCATGTTTCCCACTGTATGTTTCGCCCTGTTGCTGTCGGTGTTGTGCCTTGTTATACACACTGAGATCGTTGTGTTCTCCCTGTACGACTTGCCGCTGGGATAATTGTGCTGCCTTCTGAGCCTGTTGATCCGCAGCTGGCCCTGGGTGTGTTGAGGAGCAGTGATTTGTGCTACATCTGTTGAGTCGCCGTTGTCCGTAATCCTACCTAGTAGGGAAATGATCATCATTGGACGGATACAGTAGAGGCTGGTGATGCCATTATGCAGCTAAAACAACGTTATTGCTTGTTGCGTGGCCAACTTTTGGTGGTGAGTTGGACTTGCTGCTGCGTATCGCCAGATGTTCGCTGTGCACACGACTGCTGCGCATCATGGAGCAGCTATACGCACCTTAGTTTTGTCAAAGTGTAGTGTATTTTTCAACTAGAGCACAAGGATGTGCTCTATATGAACGCAGTCCATTTAAGCTGCGTAGTTAGTTTGGTCCGAAGGAAGCGACGTCGTGATTTAAAGGGAGGGGCTTCGTTGCAAGTTGGAGGGTCGCCAAATATAGTTGACTTTAGTTTGACCAAACTGTCGCGTGGTTTGGCCGCCATTGCGGGGCCCTAAGGCGAGTCAAGAAACCAAGACCCTCTCCTGGGAGTTGAGTCAGTCCCTCTCTTGTATCTCGAGAGTCTGAAACCCGTCCTTCTGTCCTTCATAATCTAAGTCTAATCCTGTTACGAGAGGAAGGCGGTAGGCGGGATTGCAACCCGTAGGACCACATCAAGACTCTGTGGGGAGTCTGCCCACCGATTGTGGGAGCTCTGTCGGAACTCGGAAGAAGTTCTGGGGGCAGGGAACTGAGAGGTAACCGTTGCTTTCCCTCTATAAACCTGGTTATAACCCATATTTGTACTTCTTGGTATGGTTGACTAAGTATACTGTCAGCATCCCTACTTTGACTTTTATGTTTGACTTTCAGGACACAAACCAAACTTAACTAAAAGAATGATTGTGCAATTCAGTTTCAGATTTGTTGTTTGACTGAAAGAAGACTGTGAAAAAGGGTTGCATCTGGGGGAAAGGTGGGAGGAAGGTTGTATTGCCTACGTTTGACTGGGTCAACCAAAGGCTGGGAAAGTCTCCATAAGATAGGAGGGCCCAGTGCTATGTTTATTTTCGATTGCCTGAACAACCAGATATGTTCCCATAAGATTCGGTGGTCTGGTTGCTTTGACTTGCGAGGGCTGCCTGTATTTGATTTTCAAGGACCAAACATTTTTCCATAAGATTGGATTGCTTGGTTGCCTTGTTTTATTTGGGTTTCTGATGTTTATTAATATTTTCTTGTTTGTTTTGTGGGAGGATCAGACGAAGGACTGGACAGGTTCTCATAAGATTGGGTGGTCTGGTCTGGAGCCACGCACATGTTGGAACCAAATGGATAAATTTGTTTATA